TGGCAGCACTAACACTGGATCAGAGGAGCCTGCTGAAGAAGGAGTTTATGACACGAAGGCGTGCAGAGCGCTGGGAGAGATCTTCAAAGGCTGATAAGTTTCAGACTTATCCAAGCCTCATCTCAGAGGCCCTCCTCACTGTGATAACAACAGTTAAGTAATCCAAAATTCACCAGCCTGGTGCTTTTCTACATTTCAAAACCCCCTTCCCTGCGGGAGGAGAGCCGCTCTCTTCCCCAGCCGTGGCACCCAGCTGCACCTCTCTTTGATGAGGACAGGAGAAGCAGAGGGAGGAGGAAAGTCCCCAGTTTCCACTGGTCAGAGGGGGCTCCCCGTGGGATATTTGTACCTAAACGGGAAGCAGCTGCAGACAGTGTGAGCACCGGGGAAGGATGGGTGGTAGGGAGGCAGCAGGTGTGAGGAGTTAAGCGGCCGGTGCAGCAGACGGAGGAGGTACCCAGCTGGTAACACCCCTCCCCGAAAGGAGAGAGGCTGAGCTGCTCCTCTGAGCACAAGTACAACAGGGCATTTCTTTTTGATTTGTGTAAAATTTCACCCAATCTGTGCAACGCAATCCCTCCATCAAGGGGATGTGCCTGGAGCTGCTCGGTAACCTCTGCCCGCCCGCAGCGCCGTGACGGCACGTCTGCAGCAGCCGGCACAGAACCAGGAGGGAGAGCCCGGCGCGAGGAGGGGAGGGTTTTGGAGGAATCCAGGATCTGCGTGCGCAGAAGCTGCAGTGGTGAGCAGATCACCAGCGCCTGCTGCCTCTCCCCCCTTCATGGGGAGACAGATGGACAAACTCCTCGTTACGCAGCGTGTGGTGCAAAACCGACCTGGAGTCCCTTCTGTGCCCCTGAGGCCACCTCCTGCCCTGCTCCCGCCCGGCCCTTCCCCACCCCAGCCCCCAGAGCTGGGGGAAAACAGTTCACTTTCCGTCTCTGAACCTTTATTACTACGGAATATCCAAAACGACAAAACCAACAACACAGTTACAAAAGGAGTTCACGGAGAAATGTGAAGCAGCCTGTGTTTGAAATGATCTGTGTCACCGTACCGAGTCAAATATAAAACTGCATATTTATACGTATATAAAATATAAAAGGAACAATACATCAGAAATGTATAAACAAGGGCTATGGAGCCTTCGTGGTATTTACACTGGGAGATGCAGCGGGTCGGGGGCGTGGGAGCGGCAGTGTCCGTTCAACAGGGAGCTGTAAATGCGTCTGTGAAAGTCTCTGTGGACAGAGAGAAGCGCAGAGCTGGGCTCAGCCCCGCTGGAAATGGTTTGAGGGTTCTGTCGGGAGAAAGCCGAGGCCCAGGGTGGGAGCAGTCACGGGCCAAGGCCGACAGCGAGCAGAGGCAGTCCCCGGCCTCTGCCCGGGCTCTGACAGCCAGGCTGGTGTAGCTTCGTGTTCCCAGCTGTGAAACAGAAGGTCAGGCCCATCGCCAGAAGGGAATAAAATAAAATAAAATAAAAAATAATAATAATAAACTCAACAGAGAAAAGGTCCATGTTCACATCGATAGCAGATCTTCCAAGCAGTCTCTGGCGCGGCGCACGAGGCCGAGGCCCTCCCCAGAGGCAGTTTATTCAAGTAAAGGCAACAAGTCGAGGCACTAGGCTGAGCTCTGTTGGGTCAAACTTGCTGGCTTTGAGAGAAGTCCCAGTAAGTGCTGCCTGCGGCTCTTTATAGCTCCTTGAGGACGATCTGGAACTTGTCCTCTGCTTCCACCACGTCCAGGAGGAAGGCCACGTGGTTGCTGTAGTGCTGGATGATGTTGTTGTCCATGTTCACCAGGATCCTGCGGGAGAGAGGGAGAACGGTGGGGTCAGAGGCAGCACATGGGAAGGTTTGTGAAGCAGCTCAGGAGGGCTGGACATGACCGCCCACTCGGGATTCCCAGTCGTGAGCTGGGAATAACATCCCTGACAAACCTCGTGGCACAGGGGTGGCCCTCTCCAAAATGTCTCCACATTAAATTCCCATTAAACGCTGCCTTCGCTGCCCCGTTACCCATCAGCGTCGCGTTATTGCAGCCGCGCTCCTCGCTGCGGGTGGGCTGCTGCCAGGCTGCTCTGGGGTCAGGCACAAGAAGGCACCGCAGCGCCCACCGGCCCCAACGCCAGGGGCTCCGCCGTGGTTAATTAATGAAAGCCACGACACAAAGGAGCATCCTGCAGAGCTTTTCACAACTCTGCCCTCGACATGCCCCGGCCCAGCGTTTGCTCCCCAGGGAAATTAATCTGGATTGCGGCCGGGGGTGAGTTCAGAGCAGAACTGCTCGCTCCCCGCTGCTCGCCGGGGAGCTTCTAGGGGCGCATTATTCTGAACAAGCCGAGACTGCTTTGGGAGCAGATGGAAGTGGTTTGGAACACGCCGCCTTCCTCCTCTCCAGAAC